TTACAACATGAACACATCGTCTACACGACAATAGACTCTCATTCGTGTCACTTTCCAAAACATCAACGCTATTCTTTTTCTTTTGACTTCATTTTCTAAATCTTGAATATAAATGAAATGAAAATCCCGCTCTTTTTCTTTCTAACTTTACGAGACATCAGCCAAAAATCTGCTTGTTTTGAGGGGAAAAGTAATAATTTAGACAAACAAACTGCAAAAAGCAACTTATATATCCATGTATCTCACAGTCCAAGTTCACATGTAACATCATATCAAGAACTTTTAACTCATAAGCTCACACTTTCCATGCAACTAACATGAAAAGTATCAATCTCGCCGGCTCGAAAATCCCTATATAAAGAACCTTTATTCCACATTCATTCATCAATAGGTGAAGATTGAGAAAAATGGTTACTTCTAAAGCTGCTGTTCTGGCGTTGTTCCTCATCATTTCTTGTGCTGAACTCATAATGGTGAGTTCACAGTGTCAAGGAAATTTTCAGGGTCTTGTTCAAGAATGCTCTCAATATGTTCAAAAGGGTGGCCCAAGAAAAAACCCTTCTCAGGGATGTTGCAACGTTGTCAAATCTGTTGATTTGCCTTGTGTTTGCCAACATATAACTCAGGAAGTTGAGCAAATTATTAGCATGGAGAAAGCAACCTATGTTGCAGGGTTCTGCGGAAAACCGATACCGCATGGAACGAAATGTGGCAGTAAGAACCTCGATTTACCATAATGCTTGTCTATTTAGCTGTTGTGGAAACTTGTTAAGACAAATTGAGACACTGGAAAACTTGCTCTCATAATGAAATGTTATGTATGACTTTAACATCATCGTATTGATTTCTCTTTTGTAATATATTTGTTGCAGGTTACACAGTTCCGTGAAGCTGAGTGATGCCGAGATGGAGAAACTTTTGGCGCTAAATAAATGAATATGGTTCCAATATCATCTTTGTAATAGGGAAATATATATTTTGAATGAAAAAAAATATATATATTGAAAGAAATTATTAGTCTTTTGAATCTTATCCTTCAACAAGAATTTGGATTAAATGTCAAGTAGGATTGCTTACTAATTCGAGGTTGCAATCATTTTTGGTTTAACTAAAAAAGTTGATAAAAATATAAATTAAAGCCGACAATTATGTTTAACTACAAATTTATTAGATTCAAGTTACAAATCCATGAAACAAAATGATACGCTTCGAATTTTTTTAAATAATGAATCAAATTCAAATTTTAGTTTATTACAACAAATCCAACGATAAAGCATTCGCAACACAATTTACTAGAGAAAAAGAAGTAATCCATTTTAAAAAGGAGGCACTACTTAGAACCCGTTTGACTGTAATTCTGTTTTTGGTTCTAATTCTTATAGAAAAGCTTTAACTTTTCAAAAACATTATTAAAAAAGACCTAGTTATGAAGAATTAGGTCATTTTTATTGGAAATTGCTTGTTATAAATTATCATTTACATAATTTTATTTATTTATTTATAGATTGATGAGATGTTAAAAAAAATGTGGAGAAATTTTTCCTTTTTATTTAATTAATGAGATTTTGAACCAATCATAAAAATTAAATTTATAAGCCGTGATCTACATATGACAATCTTTTTTTATTCTCTCTGAGAAATTCCTCCGTTAATTAGGGATAAAAATTAAATTTGGACAACATCAGGGTTTTCGACTGGGCTTAAGCTTCTCGTCTGTACCCTTTTGGAGTTAATTGTTTCAATGGTCACTGAATTTTGGTTCATATTTTTGATTGGTCACTGAAATTTAAAATATCAAATTTTGGTCACTGAACTTAGGTCAATATCTTCAATTGCTCACTGAACTTAGGTTTTATCTTAAATTGCTCGCTAAATTTTAAAATGTTGAGTTTTGATCACTAAACTTTGGAATATGTTATACGTTACTCACTAGCATAACTGTTGAACTTTGAAAAATATTGAGTTTACAGTAAATGATGTACAATATTTTTCGAAATTCAGTGAGTAATGTATAATATTTTTCAAAGTTCAGTAGTCAAAATTCGATATTTTAAATTTCAGCAAATAATTAAAGATGTGGAACTAAGTTGAGTAATCATATTTTAAAATTCTGTATCGATCAAAGACCTGAACCTAACTTTTGTGACCATTGGAACAATTAACTCACCCCTTTGCTCAAATTAGTTGCCGTTCTCTCGGCATCCACCATTTCGAATCATCAAAAAATGCAGCAGGTGAGTCGAAATCAAACCTACTGACCGATTAAATTGCATTATATTACGAAAATATACGTAATTATTTGTGTGTGTATACATAATATGATATGGTTGAATGTGAAAGGCTGGGGCATCCGGTTCAGAAGTGGAAGTTACGTGGGAGGACCAGCAGAACATTAATAAGTTTGGCAGATTAAATAACAGGCTTCACGAACTCGAAGATGAGATAAAGATCGCTAAGGTAACCCTTTCGGGCCTTTTAAATTAGTGGATTGGATTTTTTTACGAGTTTTACCGGGTGTGTTCTTTGATGTTTTTATTTTTTTATTTTATTTTATTTTTTGGTGATGTTCTCTTTCTTTTGTTTGTAATAGGTTGTTTGTGTGGCCTGATTGTCTGGAATATACAAGAAAATGAAATATTTTTAAGTACCAATTTATGAAGGAAAGAAAATAGAATAATGATGTAATAATATCTTGGATATTGAGGTTAGTGACAGAGATCTTTTCATTTGTTTTGCTTGTTTCGAAGTGGTTTAACCACTAAAAATTTATATTGATGCGAGCAAGCTTATATCAGTCAGACGTGAAAATATTGATCTCTTGGCAGTGAAGTTGGGCGATAAAATAGGAACATTGATATCTTCTTCGATTAGATGGTGATATTAGATTGAAGGAGATGTTTGAAAAGTAACAGAAGTGATGTATGGAAGCCTTTGAGTTGAAAGATGCTATGACTTTTAGAATGTGGGGTCAATTCAATTGAGGGAAATGTTGTATAGCACACAGACCTAGATATCTTCCTTTTAAGTAACCCAGATTTCATTGCTAAAAGGACAGGAAAATTTCCAAGGGTTTTCCTATGAGAGCAAAAGATGTTAAGGAGTTTCAGGAAAATTTCCAAGGGTTTTCCTATGAGAGCAAAAGATGTTAAGGAGTTTCACTTGGTCCCCATGAATTTTGTTTGGGTTTGACAGAAAGTGAGATTGGCTGTTGTCAACAGAACACTGCTTCATAAGTGGATAGGCCATTTATCCAGTTTGAATTTCAATGGAATTAGATTACTGAAGTTAATTGTTAAATTTATTTGGGTAAATGTTTGCATGGTTGTCAGAATATCTCATGGTTCAGGGCACTGAATGAAATTGTTGAGACACGGGAGGATTTCTCAAAATATGTTGGCTTTATAATTGGAAATCATAAAAGAATTAGATTCTGGATTAGAATTTGGCATGTTGACATTGGTATAAAATGATGGCTTTGTTTTAGGCGTTAATGGTGGAACTGGATAAATTTTGTATGACTGAAAACTTGGGCCTTGACGATATATTTCCACATCACTTGTCGCAATGGAAGAGAATAAAATCCAACACTTGAGTAGTTGTAACTTCCAAGTCAAAATTTGCCTTAGGATTTTTTTTGAGGAAATAGTTTGGAATATTCAGTTTAGATGCAGGTATTCTTCCACTCAGGAGAAGTCTTTGACCTAGAATTAGTGAATCTTTAGCAATTCAATTAGACACTGGCCGATAATGACGATTTAGAGTTAATACTTGTTTTTACTGTTTCTTTCTATCATCATTTGATTTACTCGATGTTTGAGCACCCTCTTAACAGACTTTTTAAGCCATTGACAGTGGGATTAGGTGCATTTTTTGAGCTGGATTCAAGGGAGGAACATGATGCAGTTAAGCTTGCTTTATATGTATGAGCTTGAGATGTTGGATCTCCAGTAGTGTGGAAATGTTGGAATCACCTTATTTAAATTCTTCTGACTCAGTGAATTGTGCTTAAATACAAACTTCTTTATAACTTGTCCATAAAATGATATTGACATATTGTTGATGTATGTCATTCACAAAAACAAATGTAGATTTGTGTCTAGAAAGACAAAATGTTCTTTTAGAGAGTGTTTGATACCCATTTTTAAGGAAAAATGAATTTTAAAATAGTAGATTGATGGAGAATTTGTGGATGATAAGTTTTTGATTTGCATGTAATATTATTTTAATGAAAAATGTGTGGTTGAAAAGAAGAGAGAGAAAAATGCATTTTGAGAAAAATGGGAATTAAACGGGACCTTAATAAGTGGGTTTCCAGTGATAACACAGGTAAAGATGTTCTTTAATGCAAGTGCATTTATTAGTAAAACTTATGACATGAGGGCCACAAAAAGGACTCATAAAATGGAGACAGGTTGACACGTCTCATAATAGATGTTAAGCTAATGACTCCCTTTGCAGAGGGACAGATGCCCTTTTTACTTGACTCTCACACCCCGACTAATTTAAATTTTTCCCCAAAAAGGATAGATAAAGAGGATTGGGATCCCGCATCTTCTTGAGATGCTATATCAGGCTTATTCTATCTGAATAAATTCAGTATTTGCAACCAATAAATGTCCTTGAGCATATTGATGGACAACTTTCAAATCTGGTTTTTCATGTGGATATTTTCTTATGAGGTACTGAGTGAGGAGACACGGATATCTACTTAAGGTACTGCAGATTTTTTTATTTTATCCACTGTAAAAACCAATAGAATAACCCTCCTTCCTTGGCCATTTTACTGGCTAAATATTGTAAAAGTTTTAGTTTTGAAATTTGTGAATGTAGAATGAACATAAATGGCGGATTTGATCAAAGATAACTTAGTTGGGGACATGTAGAATTCTACAGTGTGTTTAAGTAATAAGGGAGGTTTGGTATATTTTATAATGTGAATTAAAACTTCTGATATAGAAGTGTAAATGTAAACTTTTAATATGACAAGGTTAATGCAACAAAAAATACAATGAATGCAACTATGATGTAGGACTTCAGCATACTCCTTTCCCTTACCACTGCTGTCAATCTACTAGCTTGATCAAGAATTACAATTGCCTTTTCGAAGTTCCAGCACAACCTCTAGAGTTATCTGTCGAAGCTTAGGGTATAACCTTGGACACACTTTCTAGATGAGCTTTGAAAACTTATAAAACACTTAAAAGAGGATCACTCATGCCTTGCTACTATAATTTAATAGAGTTTGAAAACATAGCAACTTTATTAACCTTCCCAAGCTTTAATTGTTTGGAAATATAAGTATAATGATAACCTGCGATGTGCGGACACTCCTACTAACGTCACGTTCGTATCGTGTCAGTCACCAACACTCCTCCGGCACTCAAAAGATGTTCTATATTTTTCATTCCCTGCATCAGTAATATATTGTTGACAAATTTATTCCGAATGTAATGCATAGCTATTCATCCGATTAAAATACTTCAAAAAATAAAAGCCAAAGCCAAAAAAAATTTTGAATTTTTTTAAAAGGTATAAAAATAAAGAATTTTTTATATTAAAGCGTCCGTGTCCTACTTTTTTGAAAAATCGCGTATCGGCATATCTGTACGCGTCGTGTCTATTTCCATGCAACAGATGTTAATGATAAAATGTACGAGGATTGAGCTTCTTATTAGCACTTAGGATTAGTCTAGAGCTATATATCCTTCACTTCTTCTTGACCTAAATGACTTGAGATGGAGTAAGAGATGAGCGGTATCCGCTAGAGAGAGCATCGCGTGCTTAAACTAGCTGTTAGCCTGTTACATAAAGCTTACTGAATCAACACAAAATGGTGATAGGCATCAATATTAAAGACTCTACTGACTGATACTCTGGGCTTTTGTTTATGTGGATTCTGATACTCAATGCAAGCTGTATTTATGCTCAAGGGTGTTCGAGCATGGGTATTGTAGAAAATCCAACTCTTTGAAAAAGTCAGTTGTTAAGCTAGTCAGCATGGATTCTATTTACACTTCATATTTTTAAATGTACAGTTTCCAGAATTTGTGGAGATTGTTATACGATGCAGCTAAGTTTACAAAATATGAAAAATTCGATCACTTGACTATGCAAATGTCATTTTACTGCTTTTTGGTTCACGAGAACCTTTGCAAATCATCATCTTATCAGTCATTTCTTATAGTTATTTGTGGAATTTGAAGACTCCTCTAGTATCCTTTCTATGTGGGAATACTCCCGTCAGTAATTATTGTTTATGGTGGTAGCGCTCATTCTTAGTGAAGGAGTCCTCACAATATTACTTATCACGTTATTCCATGTGAATCCAATCATGATGGGACTTTTATCGCCTTGTTGTATCATTCTAAATCATTGGCCCATTTTTACACTAAATGAATTTTGTTCAGGAAACTAATGAGAGTCTCGAGGATGCAAGTAATGAGTTGATTCTCACTGATGAGGATATAGTCCGTTTCCAGATAGGGGAGGTATTCGCTCACATCCCTAAAGATGAAGTTGAGATCAGGATCGAACAGATGAAAGAGGTTACAGAAAAGAACTTGGAGAAGTTGACTGAAGAGAAGGAATCCATACTAAGTCAGATGGCTGAACTGAAGAAGATTTTGTATGGCAAGTTTAACGATTCCATCAATCTTGAGGAGGATTAATGATATCATATGGAAACAAATAACTCTTACTTCATCTTTCAAACTATAATTTGACTTGCTTTGATGTTAAATGTCTTATAAGATTAGTTTGATTATGATATTGATCTTTCAAGCCTGTTTTTCCAGTTTCAGAAAGTTATATTTGTTTAATTTTGAACTAATGTCTGTCACAATCGAAATATTTGGCCTTCTTTTAAGTAAAATATTTGACCTTCGTTTTTCATGTAATAGCAGTCTTTGCAAGAGAGGCAAGTTTCATTATTTTAAGCTAAGCCAAGCCAAACAAGCCGTTACTATTTGAGTCAAATCTAAATATTGTAACTTGACCCGCCTTATTAAAATAAAGCACATGAAGATTATTATATTATAATCTGTTGTTTAGTCTGAAGAATCAAGTAGTAACTCAGCTTTAATTAATTTATGAGAAAAGTGAAGTAATGATCCATAACCTTTTCAAAGAGCATAAATAGATATCTTAAATCTTGCCAACATTGGGACATTTGCGTGTTATACGTGGCTATGATCGTGTTAAGTTTACATGTTATTTTACACGGATTACAAGTGAGAAATATAAGATTTGTGGGGAAATAACATCTTACGATGTTTAATGATGGATCTCGACTTTTCAAGGAATGGATCATCATTTTCATTTATTGCATTCGTCAATTTTTTTATTCATTGTATTATAAATTTATAGTATTATTCAACTTTTCATATATGTAGCTTGAAAATCCTTTTGGATGAATCTATCCAAAAAGACGTTAAAATGATAAGCTTAGCCGAGATGTCTAAATTTTTAAAGAGAGAAGAATTTTCGTCCTCTTTGAAAACACGCGGCACGGATTAAGAACATATTTATAGTTTTCGTAAAAAGTTAAGGATCTCTATAGCAAATTTCCCTCATATACCTGACATCGCTATTACTAGTAGTAGTAGATTTGCTCAACTTCGTTTTCCGAAACAATACACGAGCCAAGAAAAAAAAAAATCTCTTTCGAAAGAAAAGCAAGCCCAAAGATTGCATTTTTCGGCTTCAAAAATAGTGAAAATGGCGACCATCCAATCTGCTGCACTCAATCTTGCACCAGCTAGAAGATTTAAACCATTTATGGGTACTTCTTCTCTTGGTTCTTCCAGTTCTGTATTCTTCAATAACAATATCAACGACCGTGCCAATCTGAGCCTGGTTCTTGGTGGGTCCAGAAGAATTAGCAGGAATCAGAAAAAGGGGATGTCTTGTAACTGTTTGTTCGGGCTTGGGGTGCCGGAGCTGGTGGTCATTGCTGGGGTAGCTGTCCTTGTTTTCGGGCCTAAGCAGCTGCCGGAAGTTGGCCGCAGTATTGGGAAGACTGTCAAGAGCTTCCAACAGGTCCTCTTTTTTTGTCCATTTTGAGAATGCTGTTGTGAACAGTTTTCATTTTCTGAAGCATGAATATATTAAATTAGTGATTTCTAAATTATTAGGAAAACAGAATCAGAGCATTAATATCCAGAACATTTCTTGCAGTATTCTGTGCGTGTAGTTTTTGTCGGGCTATAAATTGTAACTGATCATTTCTAGGTAGACTTAATTGTGGATCTTAATTGACGAAAGTCCACCATATATTGTACAGTTATGCTCTTATCAATTCAATGGAAATGTGCGAGTTTTCTGCCAAAATTCATTAGCATTGTTATAATTTTGGTGAAAGGTGAATGAGTTGGCTATTGAAAAGATGAATAATTCAGTTTTGAACGTTTAGAATTTTGTTATTTTTTTATTGTACATCGATCAAGAAAAATATGTCAAGTATTATAGAACCGTGAAATTTTGTAAATGAATTTGATCTTCTCATGAAAATTATTTGCAACATTGTGAATTCTTGGAAAATTCCATATACACAGACATGTAGTTTCTAGTTATTAACTATGTAAACTATATTTAGTTTATATCCAAGTAGCTTGTGTTTATAGTAGGAATTACTTCCAATACAGATTTTGGATTAGAAGGGAGTCCTACAAACATCTTGATGCTTTCAGTCCAAACTCCTAAGTCGCCTACTTGACCAAGTTTGGATGTTTGAAGTCCTTTCAACAATGCTTATTGTGATTCTAAAACCTTTCTGGACTTGACATCCTAAAGCCCTTTAGACAGAAATAACTTGCTATCTTGATTTCGCTCTTCATCTCAGGCTCTCATTTTTATTTATTATCTGTGACTCATTATTAAGCTTATCACACTTTATCGTATGAAGTGATACTAAATGCTTTAGCATCATGAGAAACCCTTTCTAACAACATTGCTTAGTATTTACTTTCCAATTATTCAGAGGCTGGGGCATGGCAACCTCCTCACATATTTATTGAAGTTGGTTATTAATAAAATTTCATGAGTGATAATTACCCCCCACCTCGCCCAAAAAAAAAATGTGCCTTGCCTTATGCTTTGACAGAAACTAGTGCCCTTTCTATTTCCTTTCTAACTTGGCAAAATATTTCCAAGTCATATTTTCTCTTGTATTATATAAAATATTTTCCTTGTCCTATGTTCTTATACCTACATTCCTCCATGTATAAATGTACCTTGATTAATATGGACTTAGTGTAATCATTTGTTAGAGTTCGATCATTAGGCAGCAATCTATCATATCCATATGCAGGAACTAGAATAGTGCATAGGTCATCACTCACACAACTTTTTTTTTTTCGATAGGTAAAATTAATCAAAAGATAATACACAATAAGTGCATTATAAATTTAAACAAGATAGAGATAACATCACTTACACAACTATATCGAAGGAAATTCATTGATAATACTTAAAATTTCATATGACATGTCTTATTGGAACTTGTTCTCTAAGCAGCACACCCGCGATTACTTTAGTGTCTTAGTGATGTGATATGATAAATCCCATTTAAAGAAGTACCATTTGCTGGTCTTTTTGCATGGTTAGAGCCTACGTAATAACCAATTACTTCTTTACTATTTTATGTCTCTGTTCAATGTTTCGATCCTTTTGGGACATCCTGATAATCCTATGTCCCACCTGCAGCCATCCTGTCTTATATTTTTGTAGTTTAGCATCTTCATCACTTTTTCTGTGTACAAATTATGAGAGAGCCCCTACTACCTTTTCGATCTCTCCCCGTGAAACATTGTTCTCAGATTCCTAAGTTGCCTCTCTGTAATGTTGATGATACCATTCGTGTTATTGCTCAACAATAATACTTTATCTTCATATGAGACAAAGATAGTAACAATGCTCCCAATAATATTACTGCACACAAGATTTATCTATTTTCATGACAAAAACCTACAGCTTTGTTTGTATTGTTGCCACTTGCCAATATGCTGCAATGGCTAATAAATCCTAATGCATATGAACATTGCTGCCACCCAAAAGATCTCTTCACAGTCAACTCCTTGTCTTTGTTGATCACATTTTGTCATTTTGTCTCAATCTTTCCAATTTTCTTATCTTTCACTTGATTACTCATTTTACAGCCAGTAGGTACCATATGGTCCATATCTGTCAGTGGATCAATCAGCTTCTAAACTTGATTGGGATGCAAAAATACATTTTAGATATCATAGTGTCTAGTCTACACCGCTACCGCCCAAAAGATTTCTTCATAGTTATCTCGTTGTCTTTTTTGTTCACCTTTTAACTTCCATCTTCTCTTATCTTGCACTTGGTTACTCGTTTACAAACAATAGGTACCATAACTACCAGTGGATCAATGAGATTCCAAAGTTGATTGGAATGTAAAAATTCATTTTAGATAGTGTTTAGTCTCTTGCTGAAGTCGAGATCAGATTTGTAAGATCATTTCTACGGTTGTTATTTCATAGTAGGAACCTGGCTTTCATCAACATCTTCGTAAAGAAATCCTTATCTGTCTGGAAGATGTGACACTATTCAAGATCTCCTTGGAGCTTATGTATTATCTATTGTGTTCACTGGCATTGGTATTATAGTCTGTGGCTGAATGAAAATTTCTTTGACTGTCTATGTCAAACACCCTTATCCAAGATAATAGCATTCTTGCAAATGACATAGTATCAAAGATAAAGGATTCAAGCCGTATTAGTTTTGATTAGCTGTCCCAGGGAAAGGTGGATGTTGGCATGCGACTTTTTGTTCTTGCAGGAAATAGAAATAATATCCTAATGACTCTTTTGATATTGTACACTATATATCCTTCCAACCTGACCTTTTTTCTCGTATCATTTTGTAGCATAAGTTTGATATCTTTATATAGTAACATTTCTAAGACTTGTTTGTTTGCATGCCTTAAAGAGTTTAAGATTCAAACTTTGCAGGAACATGTTTGAAAAATAATGGGAAGCAGAGCATATTAGAAAGGGTAAACCAATATAAACTCATTATAGAACATACCATATCCAACTAAGTACTATTCTCTTTTTGATACCCTACTAATTCATGTGTTACTTGGGGAGTCCACTACGTTTTAGTTACATTCTCCTTTGAGACGAATAAGAAGTTAATGTTCGTCAATCATATTGAGCTGATTATGAAGTAGAAAGATACAAGGGAGGAATGTGACGATTTGTTAATCATATTGAGGTGAATTAGCAAGAATCTTTAGTTTTTTTGTCATTCATTGAGCAAGATGATTGGATCTTTAAAAACAAGTGGGACCTCCACTATTTCAAATCTCACGGTCCCTTTAATGAGAGAAATTCCTTGTTGACAAATTCTTGATGGGGATTGGGGTCCCATCTTTAAATCATCTCACAGAGTGCTTGTTTGGTAGCAAATTTTTAACCCAAAAAAATCAATTTTTTTCGTTATTTTTTACTATTCAAGCTATCATTTTTTACTTCTTCTCTTACAGGTAGGATCCACTTTTCCCTTCAACAGTCAGAAAATCAATTTCCAAAACTGAGCAAGCCCAAAATATGTTGGCTTGTTAAAAAATAATGGGTGATTACAATGCATGTTTCGAGCATTCTTCCAGCCCTAGAATATAAGAGCCTCTCACGATAAAATTCTACAATCCCATGAATTAGTTAGTGTTCCACGTCAAGACTTTCTCACACACATTTTTCTAGGTAGTTAAGCACATGCATCTGTACTCTACTGGCTTACTGTGGAAGACTTGTTTACGCTGTGACGAAGTGGTAATGATTCAGTAACCTAATATTCCTTTGTTATAGGATAATTTTAAATTGAGAGGAAGACTAGTTTGTCATTTAAGATTGTACTTGTTAAGCGTGCAAATTTAATTTACATGTTTCTCACAAATATATCTATCCTTGGGTCAACTTGGGCTATGCACTGTTCAAATTGAACCATAAATATGGATACATGTCAACTAGCAATTTTACACATTTATATTTGTCTTCGTATCCTCCTATGCTACCTCTTAAGATTATCCATTGGGCCTATCTAACATCATCATGTTCTTTACAATTTTTCAGGAGAAAAAAATGATCATTGACCAAGGGATACATTATAGTGGATGAGAGATCACAAAGAGATGATAGATAGGATATAACTCGAGCATTTTTTTTTTTTGCCTTGCGCTTCTGTTTGTTGCATTAAATTTGAACACACTGCACATCACGGTTAATTGATTGGTGCATGCCTCCCACATTATACAGTTTCCATGTTTGCTCAAGGGCTTCCTAAATCATAACTACTCATAAAACCTTAGCAATTTGTACCTTCAACATCTCCCAAAGTGTGTCAAGATTCTCGCCTCTTCTCTATATGCTATTTTAGAGAGAATATAGGAAACAAAATACTATTTTGGCTTCTCCTTTCCTTTCTTCATTTATTGTATGGGCATCACATACTAAAAACAGAATTAAGCACGCGCTGAATTGACATTTTCCGATTGCAGGCAGCAAAAGAATTTGAATCAGAACTGAAAAAGGATAATGATTCTCCCATGGAGTCACCTGCTGAAAATATTACAACAGTGAGTGAAGAAGAGAAGCAAGAGGCCAAAGCATCGAGCATGGAGAGTTCTTAAATTTGTAGACATTCTTATGCTGTCTTTATAAAGCTGCTTGTATGGAACACTTGTTCTAGTTACTTATTAAGTTGTAGCTTAATGTTATGGATTAAATCCTTTTGTTACTTATTAAGTTGTAGCTTAATGTTGTTATGGATTAAATCCTTTTGGCCCAAGTCGAGAGCATTCATCTTGGGTCATATTCAACTGGAATGATAGAAATAGGTTTTTTATTCTCTTTAGTATTTCCTTGAGTGAGAAAATGAGGATGCTGAATTGGTTATTTTTCTGTGCACACACTATTACCATAGCATATTGATGGTTCTATTACAGTGCCACGAAATGCGCATATATGTTCTATCAAGTTACACGATAACCAGAAATGAATAATAAACGGAGAGTCTAACCGAAGTATCATGGAAATAGATTGGGAGCATGAAATATATTCCAGTTAGATTGGGAGCAGGAAATTTATTCCGGTCCAGAATGTACAGAGAATAATTGCAGAAATCTTAGCAAACTACTGTCAAATGAAGTTCATTTGCTTTATAATACACCACTGTTTCCCATTACTATCTTCTATCACTTCAGTCATAATTGTACATTCAGAATCTAATACTCAAAAGTGGTTTAACCATGTCTATCCAAAAGAACCATAAATCACCTGGCACTTATTACAAAAATTGGCATCAAAATTATCACTCAATTAAACTATTCCCCTTCTAGAATAGAAAGAAAACAAAAATAATCTTCTACTTTGTTACTATCTGAACAAGGATTGGAACCAGTTAACTTGCCAAATCAAATGGTACAAGAATATAAAATGAAACAAATTTTATAGTGTAAACTGTACAAAGAGTAAACCACAACCCGACCCTAAATCTGAGTTCGCCCCAATTCAAATTCGCCAAACACACTGTATACATCCTAGCCATTTCTTCAGTCAACATTTGTCAAATCTAAAATTTTCTTACTTCTCAATGTCCTGCAAATGTAAGCAGCCCGATGTAACTGTTGATTCAAGAGAAAAGAAGCTCGCTACTTTGGTTGAGACTGTAATGACCATATTCATAGGTTGAGACAGTAATATTAAGCAGCAATGTATTGTTATTTTTCCATCAGTCACAACGTCATCACATTGCCATCTTTTAGCCCCTGAAGGCAGACATGCAATGTTCTTTGTACACTCTCAGCAACAACCCTCAACCTTCCCTGATTAGCATCCCCAGCAGAAGATCCATTCATTTCAACAGTTCGGGCTACCCTCTGTTTACATTTCTCCCAGTCATCAATTCGTGTCCAGCATGCACGGCCACCATGGCTCCCCTCCATTCCAACAAATGATACATTAGGATTTTCACCAAATGAGTATCTCAATCTCACAGAGACACAATACGGTAACCAAGCAGCACCACCAGCAGCATTTATGAGTGGTATGTGTACAGGATCAAGAACAACTGTCAATGCAAAATCGACTGAGTTATGTGCCCGATCATACTGAATATTGCTTTTGGATGCAGATGAATTTTCAGAGTTCCCATCCACATTAAACCCAACATGATTCTCAAGACAAAGTTCAATGCGAGATTTCTGTGCAGGAACTATATCACCACCTTGAGCTTGAGACAATCCTTTCTTCCATGCAATAAGTTTCAAAAATTCTCTTAAAACCGAAATTGGTAGAGTCAAAAGTGTAATAAAGGAAGCAACACGAGATGCATCATAAGGTTCTGATGCAACCTGACGACTAAAATAGTCACATATCTCGCCTATTTCAGACTGAGTTAACTCGTCTTGGGCAGCAACTGCATTTTGTTGCTGTTGTTGAGAGTGATGAAACCTTTTTACGCTAAGGACTTGGAGAAGAAGTTGGACTCTGTGAACACTAACAGCAAAGACATAGCCCCTGAAAAAAAAAAAATAATAAATAAATAATATATATATATTATTTTATATTAGAAGGAACAAACTCATGAACTTAAATTTGTAGAGATGCATGTGCAAAGAACTTCTTTGACAAATAATATCATGGTGCAATGGATTTATAAATATCATTTTATGTAAACCTGACCCAGATATTAAACTGGAAAAGGTCAAAGATCAAACCGTGAGAGAATCCAAGATTAAAATAAATAAATTAAATATGCAGTACACAAACATGATTTATAAGCATAAAATAATTTTCATCAATTTAAAGTACAAATTGTATCAATAGCTAGACAAAAGAGTTCTATGAAGTAAAAGATCGTCATTACAACAGTACATTGCTAAATATTCACATCACTTTCTAATAAAATACTATTTCCATTTTTATTTATTTTTTATTTTGTATTTGTGCCTCTGTTCACCACACTTTTATTCCTCTCTTTATTTACATGCCTTCTCTTTCAAATCTCTCTCCAATAAAATCACCCACACACAACTCCTTCCCTCTTTAACTTTCTGATAAAGAATAAGAACTAAAGCTCATATAAAGAGAGGAGATATGGACCTTGCTAAAGGTCTTAGCATTTAAGTTAGCTGACACCCCTAAGAAAGCTATTATAATTAGATGGATCAAACCACCACCGAAATGGGTAAGACTTAACAATGATGGGTGCTCTATAAGATATTCAGGATTGGCATCAAAAGCAGGCATCAATCGTTATCATTCAGTCAGTGCATTCTATGATTTTTATGTATTGGGTTTTGATACCCAATAAATCCGGGCAATGATTTAAAACAATTGTCGGATAATTTATCAACCCCATAGACCTGGCTCGACTCAATACAACTGACACTTTTGGAAGGCCCAAGTTGGAGTTGGATTGGTGGTTTGATTAGTATGTGGTTTTGGATTATTGTTGGTCCATTAACTTAGCCCATTGAAAGAGATATCTTTGGCCCATTTAAATGAACAAGTTAAGCCCAATTATCTGTGACCTAATACCCATTCTCCTGCAGTCGTTTTTGGTGTGTGTGTGCAAGAGAAAAGAAAAGCTACAGGCAACAGGCTTTCTTTGGCGTTAGAGAGCTTGAGGTGTTTTTTGGTGTCTTGCTTCCTCTTTCTCCTTTCTTTGTGGATTGCGTATACCACCACCATAGTCTCCTTTGTGGAGTGAAACTTGTGACAACCAAGTATGGAAGTTTTGGGTCGAGCCGAGGTTACGTGATGTTCGTTTGGTTGTTTTCTAAACTCGGAATCAAGATTTCTCGAGGTTGGCCCATTTAAATGAACAAGTTAAGCCCAATTATCTGTGACCTAATACCCATTCTCCTGCAGTCGTTTTTGGTGTGTGTGTGTGCAAGAGAAAAGAAAAGCTAGAGGCAACAGGCTTTCTTTGGCGTTAGAGAGCTTGAGGTGTTTTCTGGTGTCTTGCTTCCTCTTTCTCCTTTCTTTGTGGATTGCGTATACCACCACCATAGTCTCCTTTGTGGAGTGAAACTTGTGACAACCAAGTATGGAAGTTTTGGGTCGAGCCGAGGTTACGTGATGTTCGTTTGGTTGTTTTCTAAACTCTCGGAATCAAGATTTCTCGAGGGATTTCCACAACATTATGAAACTAGCTTTGAGGCCAAGTAGTGCTATTCTTGAGGAACATCTACTTTGCTCGTGATTGGAACTTTGCAACGTATGGATTGAATCAGACCCAAGTATGGTCGTAGTAAGTCTTTTAAAGAATATGGAGTCCCTTGAATGGACAAATAATATTGTATTAGATTGATAAGTGTATAAAATATACTTATTCAAGGCCTTAAAACGATGTTATTTAGCCCTTGTTTGTTAACAATTTTCCCACTCTACCACATTATTTTTTCTATAGTACTCACTTTCAACCACACATTCTTCATTAAAATAATACTACACATAAATAAATAAAAAATTCTTCTTTTTTAACCACACATTTCAACATCAATCACTATTCCATACTCCAATTTTTGAAATTAAAGGGCCACAAATAGGGCTTTAGCTACTTCTAGAATGAATTATGGTCTAAATTGTTGCATTTGGTGTTGAATAGGTAAAATTCAATGATGATACAAGAAATTCAAAGAAACAAGATGAAAACCCGAAAGGAGAGCAAGATCCAAAGTTCGAGGACCAAAGTGTAAATACTCAAAAGTTGTGTCGGACCTCACCATGAAGATTCAAGAGTGTTCGAAATCAATTGGATAAAGAAAGACGTCAAAAGGATTAAATATAATCAAAGTATGATCACACATCAAGTTCCAACAGAAAAAATGATTCACCGTTTTCAGCCTCATATTGAGACCTGATTTTGACATAGAAAATGATCGAATTTGAAAATGATATCTGAAGCAACGTTGTAGCCCTTTGAGTTTTCCAACGCATCTTGAATCGCCTCAATCGGACATTGAAAAAAAAGTTATGATAAAAATATTGAAGTATTGTCTGTCCCCAAAGGTGGCGCCAGGGCATCAAGGTGCCATCAAAACAGAGACGCAGCGCCGCAACGTCATGGCACTTAGGTGTATCTAGGGTACTTTTTTGCTCGATTTGAAGTCTATAAAAATCCTACTTTCTACACACACGAGGAAGCACCTATAAATACAATTTTTTCACACTTTAAGAGGGGGGTTTCACACATTGAGAGGCCAAAAAAAAACACAATTGGAGAATCAAATGAGGAATTCAAGGGAGAAAACATCAAAAATTCACCATGTAGAGCATTGATTGGAAGAGGAAGAAATTCTTGGTGCAAGATCTACTTTTTCTTCTACACCTTTAATACAAAATCCGATGATGTATTCCATGACAATCTATGATTTTTTTTATTTCATTATGAATAGCTAAATCCATTGTTAAGGCGAATAATGTAACCAATTGGGATCCTTTATATTTTTTATATTAAGATTCTTGGATTTATTGTTCCATGTGTTATTTTACTTTGGATTGAATGCATTAAATTAATTAATCGCTAATTTGATGATTTTGTGAATTCTTTACGAATAGAGATATGAGTTTAGGATTTAGACCATATAGTAAAATTCGGTAAATTGGTATAACTAGTAGAGATACATATACTAATTATTTCGGTCATAATTGAATTCTTAGGACAAAGAACTCATTTAACCAGGTTAGATTAGCATATAGATATAGAATTGAATTAGTTAAATAGGTTCAATGAGAACTCGAAAGGGATAAGTTGAATACAATTGGAGAATTCAACCGAACACTACATTAGATGTGGATCTACATTTAATATGAAAGGTGACCAATAAGTGAAATTATTCTCCCCTAATGTCATTTCATATTTGATTTTCAAACCAATCGTGTCGTATTTAGATTAAAACTCAAATCTTACAAGTTTTTATCTCATCAAATAGTGGTTAAAGAAAAATTGAATTAAGTGTTAGAATATAGTCCTCGTGGGATCGATAATCCAACTCTTAGGTCCACTTACTACTTGTTACGGTCCGTATACTTGCGAAAATAAAATTGACAACACAAATCATGCAGCTATTAGGCATTCTTTGGCAGAAAATTGCATGCCCATAGCAAAGGTAACAAGCCACAGATTGGTTGGCTAATGAAAGGTGTACAAACTACAAATAATAGTGTTTAAAGAAACTTCACTATGTGGACCTCCATTTGCAACTTAAGCATTGTTTCTTTGGATCAACAAGGTATTTGTAACCTTTGAAATAGAGATTTATTATAGGGTTATTTTGGCAAAATGATAGCTTTGATTTCATTTTATTTTACAAGTCTACTAATGTAGTGCAAGTAGTGTCTCCATATTTATATTTATGGAAGTACTATATTTTGTAGTGGCATGTCCCCCTTCTATTTGTAGGGATATCTTTGATCAATAGACAAGGTAGAAGTCAATTCCATAGCCCACAACTAAGTTGGGCTAGGGCTAGGTATGGGGCAGAGCGTGGGGCATGCGAGATGGGGGCAGGGCAACTTTTTGCCCCTCTCATTGCTCTGTTTAATTTTTATTATTTTTTATATATTTTTATTTTTCTTACATTATTGAAATTTCGAGTTATGTCATTATTAGAGAATAAAATACAAATTCAAAATGAATTTTTAACAGGTGAATTGTCTAGAAATAAAATTATTTTTAATCTTTTTTTCCCTTCACAGGACGGGTTCGGGGCGGGACATCCTCGTCCCACCCCGCCCTACCAACCCATTAGGGACGAGTTTTTTTGCATCATTCGAGGCGAGACGGATTTTTTCGCCATCACTAAGTTGGGTTGAGACCTAAAAGCCTTGCTAAAATCTTGGGGTTCTCTTAAAAGGTCAATTTATTAAGAGGAGTAGCACAAATTCTTAAAAGTTAGTCTATAATTTCATCTTTACTCTATATGAGATTTTATACTTTAACATACTCCTGCAAGAAGGTGGCTTTTTTGAGATTACCAATCTTGAGATCTGTGCGATCATTTTAAAGTCTTAATCAGATCATATTGCTCATTGGAGATAAATAAAATCTGATACCATATTAAAGCTTAGAGTTCCATCTTAAAAGATCAACCCTGTTAAGTGGAGTTGTCCAAACTTTTATAAGTTGATCAATATTTTCATCTTTATTCAATAAGGGATTTTATCCCTTAACATTGTCTAGGCTAAGATGGTTTTATTTGAAAAATTAACATTCCTATATTAGTGCCCAGATTTCTCTTTTTCACCCTTCATTACCTTCCTTTTCAATCTGTGCATACCAACCTGTCAATGAGAATGTCAAAGAGAAGTCAGAATCGGAATCGGAATCGGAATCTGTAAATAAACAGAGTGAGGAGACTGTCCGGTGAAGAAAAAACCAAGAAAGAGTGGAAAGAGACTGCCAAAATCAAAATTCACAGCCCCACCAACGATGTAGCAGTTAAGTCTTTCTCACCGAATCTTTTGATGATTGTTGCAAGACTGATTGTACAGATGGAAATAAAGGAATCATGTTGCTAAACCTAACTTTATAGGGAATAAGATCTAGTCATTGGTTGTCAACTTTGTTGGTCAGACGGGTGTGAGAAGGTCAACCAGAAAACACCGGTGGCCAATCTTTGCAATTTATAGTATAAATTGGCAATTGCAAATTGAGGAAACTGCAAGGATGAGTGAGCCACTAATAGATGAAAGCATTATGTCCAAGTAAAATGATGAGGGTGGTTCACAGAAACTGAAGAAGGTTTCAAAGAAAATGAGGTGATGATTGAAGGTTCCAAAGAAAATGAGATGATGATACCAGCCAATAAGAGTTATCTTGCACCTATGATGATGAAAAAGCACTTTTTTTTTATTATTATTATTTTTTTTTTTTTGGTGATGTTATGGCGATCTAGCAAGCAAAAATGAACTAGAAAATGCATTGTTTTCTTTCTAGTACTCAGCAGTGGCTTTGAAACGTAAGTGAAAAATTCAATATTGGAATGGAAAGACCGAATTTTGGTCCACGTGATTCATTTGAGGATCAGAAGACGAGGGGACTAATACACTGTGATGCGGACATCCTTCTTTGGGCCATTTATTTATGTTTTATGTCCACTTATTTAGGCCTTATGTTTTATTGGGCTTGTATATGGGTTTGGCCCCAGCCCTCAACTAGGTTTATTATTTTGTTATTTATATGGTTGTAATGGGATTAAAAATCAGTTGATGAATGAATTAAATTACGCTTGGTTGTGGCCACGTTTTCCCTCTCCTTCTCCCCCTATTTCCCTGTTTCTCTCTTCTCCCTCCCCTTCTTAACAATCTTCTTCTCTTCTTCATGTTCTTCTCCTTGTGGTTAATTCTTGTTCAACTTATTGATTCTACATCAATTTTCGTTAATTCTTGTTCAACATATTGATTCTACATCACACTAGTTTTTGATGGTCAAGAAAATTGGAAGAAGTGAGTGAGAAGAAAGTTCCATGGAATTATTGACTCATCAAAAAAGAGACCTTGCAATAACTTCTAATAACCGATAAATTGTTTACTGAGGGACTGGAACTAGATTTTTTCTTTTTTCTCTCACAGTTTACTTTTCTTTGCGGTATAAACAGAGAAAATGAGCTTATGCAATTTAGCTTATACCCTTACCCGACAAAGAAGCGCAATGCCGGCTGCTCCTGATCCAAGTTCAATAATGCACCTTCATTTTCTTTCAGAATTGACCCCAAGATCTCTCTCAAAAGCTCTGGTAACTGTGCAAACAGCCAGAGTACTCCAAGATACTTGAGAATACCTCTAAGTACTTTTTTAAGTGCCACAACAGGGACCCATCCGCCACCATAACCTCCGTCATCCCCAAGTCCAATTATTGCAGTATTTAACTCCCCTCTAACATGGGCAGGGACTCCTGAGCCAGGTGATCTACGTAATGGATTCACCGCAGCTAGATTTGTAGGTCCTGGAAGAGCATTTGCTATGCGGTTAAGTCCAGACATTGCATTTCCAGGACGAGAGATTGCAACAGCAGCAGAATTTGAGAGGTTGGTTCTATTTCCATTGGCAGTTGACAGCTGCGGACCTGCACTTGGATTGGGATTACTTAAATTTGTCAGTCCAAGAGCCTGTTGAGCTCCTGGAAAATTAGAATCTATGCCATTCAATTCCTGAGCAACATGCTCCATAATAAATGGTCGAAATTGTGGACATGGCAGTGATCCTCCAACTGATGGACCCCCTCTCGGTGGGGTTGCTGGTTGTAACCAGACTTGATCTCCAGCAAAACACCGCATGTCTACAGCAAAATTTTTGCGGTATATGATTCGAATCCAGTATGGACCACGAAGTACTACAGAAACGTCAATAGGCAACAGAGAACTTGGAACAATGCCAGGACCACCTCTCCCAGCAGCAGCAGC